CACGCCCCACACCTATAGTCTAGACATGTGCCCTGACTGGGAATCAAACCATGACCTCCTGGTTCATAGGTTGACACTCAACCACTGAGTCATGCAGGTCAGGCAACAGTTATTACTTTGAAGAGTAGGACTGTGGTCCAAGGGAGGGGAAAGGGTATTTTCTTTAGATTTTATATCTTTTAAAATTATTTCAATCTTTTTAATTTTTAAATTTTTACTGATTTCAGAGAGAAAGGGAGAGGGAAAGAAAGATTGACACATCAGCTGCCTCCTGCATGAGGTGTGGGTTGGGGAAATGTGTGTGTGGGTACCCCATGAGCCCACAACCCAGGCATGTGCCCTTTCCAGGAATCTAACTGTGGTCTCCTAGTTTATAAGTCGATGTTCAACCACTGAACCATGCCAGCTAGGGATAAATATTTTAATTTTTAATGATTTGTATCCATTAATTTAAAAACAATTATTACAAACACAATCCAATTGCTGTAAAAATTTAAATACAGCAGAAGTTAATAAAAGTCCCTTCTCTCCCACCTCTTAATCCCATTCCTAGAGGACAGTTAACCACAGATATGAGTTTGGGGCCTGGTTTCTCAGTGTGGTTTCCAGAACAGCAGCACCAGGATCATCTGAGAAATTGCTAGAAATGCAGATTCTCATGTCCCACCCCAGATTTGCTCAAACTCCATAGCAGAGCCTAGAAATTTGTATTTTAAAAAGCCCCTTGGTAATTTTGGTGCATGCTCAAAGTTGAGAATCATTTTATTTTAGCAGGTTAGACTAGATCTTTGGTGGTGGCATTGGGGGAAAGGAAGATTTGAGAAGAATCCTCTTGGGGAAAACTAATAATTCAAAATGACATGTTCCCCATTCAACCAGCAAGCTCTTGGTCAAGGGTTGGCAGCCCCTTGAGCTCACTGTGACCTCTACATTGGGGTTGAGTGATAACCGTACTGCCAGTTTGAAGACATTATGTAGAAAAGGAGAACATTTTAGAAGGAGAACCAGGCTGGCATGGCTCAGTGGATGAATGTTGACCTATGAAACAGGAAGTCACATTTCAATTCCCAGTCAGAGCACATGCCCAGGTTGTGGGCTAAATCCCCAGTGTGGGGTGTGCTGATCAATGATTGTCTCATCACTGATGTTCTTCTTTCTTTCTCTGTCTCTTCTCATCTCTGAAATGAATAAAAAAAGGAGAAAGGTAAAAGGAGTATAGAAGAAACTAAACAAGGATGAGTCAAGAAAGAAAAAATGGCAGAGAGAGAATGAAGATAAAAAAAAGTCATAAAGATGGCAAGTATATGACAACAACACCTTAGGACCACTCATTCATTGAGTTAATTCATATTTATCATTTTAAAATTATAAATCTCTTTATTTTGTTAATTTCCTTCTCTGACTCACACATTTCATTGTCTATGAAACTGAAGGTTCTTATGACATTGATTAAGTTTAGCTTGAAATCATAGCTGTAAAAATCATATGTCTCTCTCTGTATATGTATATATACCCCTCAGAGATCTATCCTCCCTCCTGCCTCCAAATAACTAACCCACAAGACAGCAAAAGATAGAACTCAGTCTTGACTAATGGTGTCAAGGTCTGGACCTCCGGCAGGCTAAAGATAACATATTGACCTAAGTTACATTTCAGCTTCAGGACCTCAGGTGAAATGATCCCCTGACTACTTTCCAAATAAACCAGACAGAAGGACATGGGAACAGACCTCAGAACTATCCTCAAGACCAGAAGAAATCATTTATTACCTTTACCTCACTTCTGACCAATCAGCACCCAGTACAGCCCAAAACCCCTAACACACAAGTGTCTTGTGATTTTGCCCTTTATTACCTGTAACCTACATGCCATCAGGCAGTTGGGGGTATTGAATGTCAGCTTCCCATTCTCCTGGGTGCTGTCATCTATAATAACAAAAGTGTAATATGCAAATCGACCGAATGGGCTAACAGTGGAACAACCATCTGGATGAAGCCAGGGCTGTGAGGGCTGAGGCAGCTGGGGCTGTGAGGGCAGTCAGGGCTTTGAAAGTCTACTCTTAGATGAATTTCGTGCATCAGGACTCTAGTTTATAATAAAATAACTAATATTTCTCCACTGCAATTTTTTTTAAAAAAATATGTTTTTATTGATTTTGTACAGAGAGGAAGGGAGAGAGAGAGAGAGATAGAAACATCGATGAGAGAGAGTCATTGATCAGCTGCCTCTTGCACACCCCCTACTGGGGATATGCCTGCAACCAAGGTACATGCCCTTGACCGGAATCGAACCCGGGACCTCTCAGTCCCCAAGCCGACGCTCTATCCATTGAGCCAAACCGGTTTCGGCTCCACTGCAATTTTTAGTGTTTAATGTTTGGCTCTGCTAATGCTGGGTGGACAGACTTTCTGTTCCTCTGACCTACACATTTCATTGTCTATCATTTACAAAATGTGATAAGTTCATTATTTCTCACACCATTCAGTGTCTTGACATTTAGGAAGTGTTTGCTAATGATCCCTGCTCCCTGGCCAAAGAATCATTAGCTCTCAAAGGGTTCCAAAGACTCATAATCTAACTGGGCATGTGTGTGTGTATGTGTACGTGTTTGCTGAGGAATTCTGCCCACTGGGGAGGTGTGAGGTAGGGTAGGAGAGGAAGTGAACATGAAAACACTCTGGATGCAGCACTATCAACAATCTAGTTAATACATATGAAGCTCAGATTGGAAGGGATCTTCTAGAGTTCCTCAAACATCGACCCTAGTCCCACAGGCTTCTGCAGAAGAGCCTGGGGAAAGCTCCTTCAGCTGGGCTGGGGTAATGAAAGACTGTATACAAAAGTAACTAGTTTTCAGTGCTGGCCTGTGTGACTCAGTTGGTTGAACATCGACCCATGACCAGGAGGTCATGGTTTAATTCCCTGTCAGGGCTTATAACTATGTTGTGGGCTCAATACCCAGTAGGGGTCATGCAAGAGGCAGCTAATCAATGATTCTCACTCATCAGTGATGTTTCCCTCTTCTCTCCTGTCCTCACTGAAATTATATATATATATATATATATATATATATATATATATATATATATATATATATATATATATATATAGTAGTTTTCACAAGGTTTGAGATGTGGGAACATTAAACAACTCTAAGTATAGAAGCTCAGACCAAACAGAACTTTAAATATTTTTAGCCTATTTTCCTTTTTTACAAAATACCCACCACTTACCTATGACTTCCAAAACATTGTTCTGTCTCATGAACATGACTGTCCCAGTCAAGGAACCAGCATTTGTTTTGTCAGGGGAAAAGGTTGCAATGGTGGATTTAATATAAAAGGCTGATCTATCTTACCGTGTTCCATTTTTTAATTTGATGACATCTGCAAGAGGTTAAGGGCAACAATTTATTAAACCAGATCTTTGACTCATTGAGGCACTTTGCTTCCTTATTTTATATAATAAAAGGCTAATATGCAAATTGTCCCCTTGACTGGGAGTTCGACCAGGGGGCAGGGCTGGCTGGTCAATTGCCCGAGGTCCCTCCCCCAACCAGCCCCGTTCCCAATGCCCTCCCCCCATCAGGAGCAGGGTGACCGGCCAACCTCCCCCTGACTGACCCTGCTATCACCCCAATCCAGTCCAGCTGGCCGGACCCCACTCATGCACAAATTCATGCACTGGGCCTCTAGTATTTTAAATAAAAGAGCATTTACTCTTCTAGATTCCTGGAATTATAAAGCTGGAACCACTTAGAAATAATGTCTGACTCATTAATATTGCCTTGGGGAGTTTTGAGAAATACAATGCCCAGGCCCCACTCTATACCAACTGAATTTGAATCTCAAGGCACAGGACCAAGGGGGCACCTCTGGTTTTAAAGCACCACAAGTGATTCCAACAGGATTGAGAAACAGCTCTTGATAAAAAAATATATATAACAACAACAACAACAATAATAAAATAAATAAATAAAATACACACACACACACACACACACACACACACACACACAAAGACAGGGCCTCCTATTTCAGAATTTCTGAGGGAATAAAGTGCAGGAATCTGTATGTTATTAAAAATACCCAGATGATTCTTTTGGAAACTTACATTTGAGAAGCAGTACTTTATTTCAATTGGAAATTTTTATAGCTTTTGAATGATTTCATTTGTTGAGTATTGTAGGTTTCATCTGTTCAACTGTTAAATAAACCAAATATGAGTTTAGTTTAGTATGAATTCATTAAAGGATAAAAGCAACTGGAAGGATAATGGATGGATATAGATAGATAAACACTGTCTCTGGGTAGTAGGTATATGGATATTCTTTGTTTTTCCCCCCTTTCTATTTTATTTCTATCTCATTTTCTCTATTTAAAGAAGTGTCTTCCTCTTTCTGAGTTGAATTTCCCCTTCTGCAAAACAGGGTGTTGTAACTTAGTGAGGACCTTCAAGACCAGGTCCTGTTCTGGCGGTCAGTGATTTCATACTACCCTCTCGCTCACTTGCCCATTTAATAGCATGAACTGCATAGAGAACAACAGTGTTGGGAGAATCATCGTATATGATTCTTGTATGTGTTACGTTGTGATGCCTAGCAACCGTTTTTACTCCAGAAAAATTATTCTCTTGTTCAAGGAATAGGAACTGAAATAATCTCCACCATTTACACCAACCAAAAGTTAATCCTCTCTCTTTTGCCTCAGATAAGGCCGTCCGCGCACAGCTCTGAAGAAAGTAAGAAGGACTGTGAACCAAAAAGCCAGGGCGTGGTCGTCCCGCCCACCCGCCCGACATCACTACCCTTTTCGCGGCTTTGGAGCTCAGGGATTGGCTGAAGGCAAGAAAGAGCCCCGCCCCTAGTCTTATGACCCGCGCTGAAGCTCCCAGTCCCGGCTTTCACGGTGCTGTGGTCGGTGGTCAGCAACTGTCTTCCTCCGCTTCCCCGAGCCTCTCCGCGGTGTTGCCGCTCTCTCCGCTGCCTGCTCTTCCGGATCATGGTGTGCTTCCGCCTTTCTCCGGTGCCCGGCTCGGGGCTCCTTCTGCTCTGCCTCCTTCTGGGTGAGTTGTGGGGCCCTCCAGCTTAGTACCCGCCCCGCCTGGGCCCCGGGCGCCCAGTTCAAAGGCCACAACTTGCCCAACTGGTCTCAGGGGTGGAGGTTGAGAGGCTGAACAGCTGACCCTGGGCGGTGGCGCTTGCCTCAGGTGACAAGCGATGACTTAGACAAAATCCGACGGGAGGGATGGCGGAGGAAGAAGGGCCAGTGAGAGTAAGAAAAGGCAAGTAATCAGAGTGGGCTGGATGCCAAGAGAGTAGGTAGGAAAGTGCGAGGAGTGAAGCGGCTGCGGTAGGAAGAGTCATTTCGGGGGGGGGGGGGGGGGGAAAGACGAAGGAATGAGCTTAGATAGTGGATACCTGCTGATTCTGGGGTGGCAGAGACAATTAGGAAAGACCTGGCTTCCTAGGATCAGGGAAGAGTTTTGAAGATGGTGGAAAAGTAAGGGGCGAGAGAGAAAATTGGGGAAGGAAAAGACTGCCTGCGAGAAGAACTTGACGGAAGTGGGGCAGATATGACAGTTGACTCTGAGGGACAGTGAGAGGGTTGGGGGCTTTGGTGGAAGGGTGATTAAAGAGATGAGGAATGATTCTGGATTTGACTTTGGTAGTTGGATTTCTGAGCGGGGAAGGTGGCTGGGCAATTTCCAGGCAAGAAAACTCGGGCTCAACCTTTGAAGTGTAAAGGGATGAGTGGGAACTTCTATAGGGAGTGAATATCTGACTTGGAGGTGTTGAAAGTGTCAGTTTTCTACTAGTTTTGCTACTTTTCCAAGCCCCTAAATCCTCAAATTTTTCAATTGGAAGGACCTTCCAGATCCAAGGTTTTGAGAATGTATACGAGTCTTGTATGCTTCTTTGCTTTCAGAAGCTCGTTTTCTTTTTCCATATACAACTGGCCTATTACTTGGTTTTCGGAGGAGGAAAAGGTGGAGGAGGGTAGGTATCTTGCTAAGGACTGGGTTGTTATCACTGATTATGTGGCTTCTGGAAAACTCCACTGAATACTGGTGAGGGGATGAGAGTGAAAAAAACAAATATTATCTTATCTCAGAATGGCTGGGCTGATTGTGTCTCCCCCTCCCCCCTCCATAAGCAGTCAGTTTAATGCTTGAAAGGTGAACTTTGACTAAAATGTCTCTTCCTGACCTGATTCATCCTGTTTGTTGCTACCCACTGACTCTTGCTGTTTGTGACCTAATTAAAAAAGAAACAAAAAACTGAAGAGACAGATCAGATGGGAGCGGAGAGGAAATCGATATTATTAGGGGCCTGAGAAGACAGTGAAGAGTACACATCTTATAATTCACACTTCAAGAGTATAAAATCAGCCCCCTAGAACAGTGGATTCTCAATCAGGGAATATTGGCAATATCTGGAGACATATTTGGTTGTCACAGCTTGGAATTGCTTTTAGCATCTAGTGGTTAGATGTCAGGTATGCTTCTAAATAACCTACAATGCACAAGAAAGCTCCCGGCTCCCCCCCCCCCCCAAGAATTATCTACCTCAAAATGTCAGTAGTACCAAAACTGAGAAATATTGCTCCACATCCATAGCATTGAAAGGATTCTTGATTATCTGATGTAGTGATTCTCAAGGATCTTTGCTGGGAGTCTGTCAGATCAAAACTATTTACAGAAAAATACTAAGATATTATTTGTAATTTTCACTCTCATCCTCTCACCAGTGTTCAGTGGAGTTTTCCAGAAGCCGAATAATGAATGATGACATCACCCTGATGGCTCTGATATGTTTTACTTCTCAATTTTAAATTCTATGGCAAATACCTATAGATAGAACTCACATAAAAGCTATTTGAGATTCTCAGTGGATAAGAGAGTAAAGGGGGTCTTGACACTGAAACATTTGTGACTCTCTGATCTAGTCCAGCTGTCCACAAGTGCAGGAAACTCTTCTGTGGCCTGTCTGAAAAGGGGTTGTTGAGGCTTTGCTTAAGCACAGTTTGAAGCTTTCATGCTACTGAGAACTGAGAAATCCTAAGAAAGGATTATTTACCAAAAAAGCACCTTATCAGTGACTAGAACGCATCTAACCACAGCATCTGTTAACCAGTAATTCACTGCCAATTGAATCTGCACAAATACAACACTGTTATTGTTTATAGAGAAAGTAAAACTAATAAACAGTTGTCTTACTTATTGGTTTTTATGTCATTAATTTTTTTTTTATTGAATGCTCTTTTGTTTTGATTTTACAAAAGCAATGCTTGCCCATTGCAGAAAACAAACATGCAAAAGAAACATAAAAGAACTATCAGTTCATCTGCTAGTTTGCCATTTATTGATTGGGACTAACTAGATTCACCCTCTGGGAAGATTTCCTAGATTGATTACCTTCCCTTGCAAGTTCAAAACAGGATTTGAAGGAGTAAAAGTTAATAATGTACCCAGATCAGATTTTTTAAAGGTACTTTAAACAATAAAATAAAATTTTAAAAAATGTAAAAAAAAAAAAAAAGAAAGTACCAGGATGAAATAGAAACCATGTCTTCTATACAGCTGCTTTTCCCTGACAACTGTTGGTTCAGTGTGGCACTAACTTCTCCCATGTGGTTTTGTCTATTGAAATTTTAGCAGGTCTTCAGTTGCTTGGTGCATTTTGCATGTTGCTTTTATATATCAAAATGGCTACCAAGAATAAGTTTTTGAAAACTCAATAAATATTTGTAAAGTATATGTTATGGATCCTATGCTGTTCCTGGGTACTAGGATGGTGGTGAAGGATGATCTGAAGTGAATTTCTAGCCTCATTAGCATTAGTGTTTGAGCTGTGCCACTTTGTGACTTTATAACTCTATCCCAACTTCACCAGTAACTTCACTTTTTAGAAACAACTCTTTTAGAGGAAGTGCAGAAAAGAATTCCTCGAGTCTATCTATTGGCCTTTTCCAAAGAGTTAAATGTGCTGATATTTATTTGAATTGTAACTGACTAGAGCACTTTCTGGAAAAGAGCTATATAGCAACATTATAAAGAAAGTACTAAATGAAAATCTTTTCCTAGCATTATTGCCTAACTGTGTTCCCATCATGTGACATCAGAGATTTCAGAATTTTGTGGGTTTTGATTCTTATAACTAGTGACTTCTGGTTTTTATAGGATTGAAGCTTTTCTGGGAGGGAAAAACCTCATAGAAATATCCTGAGTGTGTGTTTCACTGGTTGGAGCCCCTCCTTTCCACAAATGTTTCTTGAATGCCTATTTTATACTAGTCACTATACTAGGTGAAAGGTAGAGATAGTGCAAAAGGAAAGACAGGTGAGCTCCCAGCTCTTGGGGAGCTTACATTTTAGTGGCGGAAGACAATCCAACATGTAAACAATAGAATTTCAGATAGTCCTAGGCAATGTGAAGAAAATGCAGCAGGTAATGTGGAAAAGGATTGAGCAGATGATGGGGGGGGAGGCAGTAATGGAGTCATAAGGCCTTTCATTGTTGTTTGACATTTGAACAGAGACCTGACTGTTGGAAGGAGGCATCTGGAGGAACAGGAGTAAATCTTTTTTTTTTTTTAAATATATTTTATTGATTTTTTAAATTGATTTTTAATAGAGAGGAAGGGAGAGAGAGAGAGCTAGAAACGTAAATGAGAGAGAAACATCGACCAGCTGCCTCTTACACACCCCCTACCATGGATGTGCCCGCAACCAACATACATGCCCTTGACCGGAGTGGAACCTGGGACCTTTCAGTCCGCAGACCTACGCTCTACCACTGAGCCAAACTGGCTTCGGCAGGAGTAAATCTTGACTTTCCCAAATTCTTAGTTCATTACACTAGCCTATTTTTCACTCTCCCCCCCCCCCCCTAACAGTACCAGTGGTGTTCATTTCTGAGAGTAGAGACTATCTTATGTGCAGTTATTTCCCTGTGTCTACCTAGCACAGGGCTTGGTACATATTTAACTCTCCATAAATGTTTGTTGAGAGTACTCATTGATGGACACTGGGGATATGATGGTGAACTAGACCAACTTGGTCTTCTTATTCCTCTTGAATCTTTTTAAAAAATATATATTTTATTGATTTTTTACAGAGAGGAAGGGAGAGAGATAGAGAGCTAGAAACGTCGATGAGAGAGAAACATCGACCAGCTGCCTCTTGCACATCCCCTACCGGGGGTATGCCCGCAACCAGTGTACATGCCCTTGACTGGAATCGAACCTAGACCTTTCAGTCCACAGACCGACGCTCACTGAGCCAAACCGGTTTCGGCTTCCTCTTGAATCTTAAATTATGTTTTCAAAGAAGTTGTTTTTGTGTGTCTTTGAATTGAGAACATCGAGATTAGTGCTAAGCAGTACAGATAATTATAAACCTATTTACTAAAGTATAATCCCATAATAATAATGCTAGTATCTTACCTGTATCCCTTAAGATATACCTACATAGTAGTGAAGGTTAACAAGAACAAGGAAGACTGGTGAGAAGGAGAATATGGTTTTGACAAAGAACCAATTTCTCTCTCCTTTTGTGGGTGATCTAAAAGAGAATGTGAGCATTGAGATTTTTCTGTAGCCTAACCACATTTGGTTAAACTGGTAACTTTGATTTCAGAGTTCTGCTAAAAATTATTCTATCTATATTAGTGTGACTTGAAAGGACAGGATATGATTGGTTATCACATCTGATAGGATTGTAAATATTCAGATATTTCATATGAGTGCAGCTTTCTTCCTCTGTATCCTTGGGTGGAATTTATAATCAAGGTTTGTTTTACAATACTATGTCTGACTTAAGTGATCCATTGGTGCAGGAAGGCTATTTTTCCTCATGTAGTAACAAAAGCATTCTGGTCATAATTTTGTATTGCAGTAATCAGAGATCTCCTATCCAAAAGTATACTTTATGAGTACTTGTTGGTATCCTGCTATATGTTGCAAGAGAGTTTTCTGGAGGTCTGCCAAATACCATATAGCAATAAGCACTTTCCACTAGTTGGATAATGTTGAATCTTATTTCCTTACCCACTCTGTGACTTAA